ACGAAAACGGAACGATCGGGAAATCGTTGCAGAACGACCCGCGGGTAAAACACAGTACGCCCTGCAGAACGATTCCCCATCCCCTCCTGTAGCGGACAACGCTGACTCGGAGGGAGGGGTAGGACGTCAGATGTGACGTGAGCACGCAAACCTTGTCCTTCTCCCGTTCCGCCTCCTCCTCCTCCTCCTACTCCTCATTCTCCTCCTCCTCCCCCGCCTCCTCCCCCATATCTCTGCGCCTCCTTTGCCTCCTCCCCCTCCTCCTCATCCTCCGCCTTCCCCTCCTCATGCTCCCCCTCCTCCTCCTCCTCCTCCTCCTCGTCCTCCTCCTCCTCCTCCTCCTCTTCCTCCTCCTCTCCCTGCTCCTCCTCGCCATCCTCCTCCTCCTCCTCCTCCTCCTCCTCCTCCTCCTCCTCCTCCTCCTGCTCCTCCTCCGCCTCCTCCTCCTCCTCCTCCTCCTCCTCCTCCTCCTCCCCCCCCCCCGTATCCTCCTCATACTCCTCCTCCTCCGCCTTTCCTCCTCCTCCTTCTCCCCATCCTCCCTCCTCCTCCTCCTCCTCCTTCTCATCCTCCTCCTCCTCCTCCTCCTCCTCCTCCTCCTCCACCCCCTCTTCTTTCTTCCTCTCCTCCTGCTCCTCGTCTTGGTATTCGCATGCTGTGTGTTCGCATCAATGTTATCATGATGATTACTCCGCTCCTTAGTATTAGTAGTATGTTTCTTAGTATTAGTACGGTCGTCGTCACATGGGTAATACGTGTTTGATTCCTCACCATAGGCTTCTTACTGTTCTAGGCAATGTCAGCATGGTTATTAGTGTTAGTCTGACTATGGTTAGTGTTAGTAGCATTGATGTGCTTATTCATAGTGCGCGTTATATACACATGCGCCTCATTCACATGCGTATCAGCATTATGACTCGTCATATGGGCAGTACTACTATTGTTCGCATTCGTAGTATGATTATTGGTCTGCTTACTACTGCTCGTATTAATCATACGCTTCTCCGTATTAGTATCGGGCTTCGAAGTATTCTTCGTATTCCTGTTATTCGTCATCTTTGTTATGACTCCGAGCATTACTATGTTTATGCTCAGAATGCTTAGTATGATTCCTCTTATTCGTCCTCCTCCTCCTCCTCCCCCTCCTCCTCCTCCTCCTCCTCCTCCTCCTCCTCCTCCTCCTCCTCCTCCTCCTCCTCCTCCCCCTCATCCTCTTCCTCCTTCTCCTCCTCCTCCCCTCCTCCATCCTCCTCCTCCTCCCCCTCCTCCTCCTCCTCATCCGCCTCCTCCTCCCCCCCTTCTCCTCCTCCTCCTACGCCTCCTCCTCCTCCTCCTCCCCCTCCTGCTCCCCCTCCTTCCCTCATGTCTTCAGCGATTACAAGAAGCAGCAGCAGCAGCAGCAAACCACGATTGGATAACACAAAACAAGTCGGCCCGACTCGGAGATATACGATAAGGAGCGTCCATCCTTGATAGGGGTGCGTCCGAATGGTTCCCAAGGAGTTTATCCCCGAGTTTTCCCCTCCTTTTCTGGGTGGCCAAATTTTCAAAGGGGGCTCGGGGATTGGAGAAGAAATGCACCATCTCTGAACCCTCCCAAACCTCTGCCGACTCGCACGCGGAATCCATAGCTCGAGCTGGAACAATCGGACGCAACGACAACCAAATAGCGCGCAATGCAAATGTCACGGGCAACGCAAACAAGGTAACACAACGAAGTGCGATACACACTGTCATGCAGCAAGCACAATGTTGTTGATCAAGGCGGTTGGCGCGCTGAGCACTACACACTCGCTGAACCTCCTCAAGCCTCTCCCGACCCACGCGCGGAGTCCTCAGCCCAAACAACAACGCGCAGAGCAACAAGACATCTGCAGCGCTGCAGCGCAACCGACGCTGCAACACAACAGACATGGGGTGGTTGGTGCTGGGGGCGCCGCGCCCTCCCTCCTGAATATGCTCAAGCCTCTCCCGATAGACTGCCTTGCCAACGGCGGTGAGAACGATCACACCGTGCAGCAGGGGACATGTCGACCCCCCATCCCAGGCTCCGCGGGGTTTTCGAATGGCCTTTGGAAAATCGGGGTCCAGACCTGGGATGTACGATGGGGGGCGTCCACCCTCGGGCCCTCGATAGGGGTGAGTCCGAATCGCCCCCTCTGGGGGTGTATCCCAGGGGTTCCCTCCTTTTCTGAGCGGTCTCATTTTTCGTCGAAGAGTTGGGGGCTGGAAGAGAGATAGAGAGAGAGAGAGAGACATCGCATGCGACCGTGGTCGGAGGGGCAGCCAGGTCGAGGCAGCGCGAGCGGTGCCCTCTCCTGGCTCAAGCGGGGAGCCAGGGACCCTACGAGCAGGCTCGAACCAGGAGTCCGACGCTGCAGCGACACCCGTACGGCCAGGTCGTGTCGTGCCGACCGGGGCGGTGGTTCCTGACACCGCGGGCCGTTTCCGAAACGTCAGATCGTTCGACATCGGCTGATTATGGGTCGCAGGCGGCGGTCAACGTTGAACGCCAGCGGCGGGGTCGCCGCCGGTCGATACGACGCAAACCTACCTTTCTGTCGGGCGTGTCCCCCTACAGGGGGGATTTTCGACGAAAAATGTAAAATACCCCAAACATACGCCAAAAAGGTCAAAGATACTCAAAAAATAGTCCCCTGACTATTTTTTGAATATTTCTTGACTATTGTTGGGGTCTTTTTTATTCTTCGTCGAAAATCCCCCTGTAGGGGGACAGGACCGACTTAAACCTACCTGAGTCTGCAAAACGCCCGATGTGCAGCTGAAGATACTTGCGTGTGCGCGTGCATTTGGGACCTGGCGCCCCGCTGCGCGCAAGACAGTTGGCAACTTTACTATTACTCCCTGATGGTCCTCCTCCTCCTCGTCCTCCTCCTCCTCCTCCTCCTCCCTCCTCCTCCCTCCTCCTCCTCCCTCCTCCTCCTCCTCCTCCTCCTCCTCCTCCTCCTACGCCTCCTCCTGCTCCTCCGCCTCCGCCTCCTCCTCCTCTTCCTCCTCCGCCTTCTCCTCCTGCGATGCTGCGATTTGCCAGCACTGGTACCACGGATGGCGCTGCCCGCCCTTCCCGTCGGCACCCTGTCACCAGAGAGGGCGAAGATCTGAAACACATTATGGGTGGCGTGCGAGGGGAGTAACGGAACGGACGTACAAAGCTGCCGTCGCTGGAAAGCTGGCGTCCGTGCAAGGAAGGCAGGCGTTCTGGTCGCGAGCAGGCCTCCCTACGAAGGCCGCTAGATGTAGAACTGTGTCAAACTCAAGTGGAGCACAACACGCTTGCACGAGAAGTCGCGCGGTCATCGCTGTGCGTGCCGCAGAAAATGCCGCTCGCTCTCCCGCCCGACAACCTCACTCGACGCCCCGTGTGTCCACGCATTCCAGCCCGCATGTCTTGCACGTGAGTGGGCCCAGAGGAGAGGCAACTCTTTGACTTTCGCTTCGCAGGGTGATCTACGGAAAGTGAGCTGAATTAGCCAACAACCGACCTTCGGGCCATGCCCAAAGCGTTGCCGATGCCAATACGGCTCCACCGACTCCACCCCGAGGGGGGAAGGAAGGGGGAGGATTAAGGGGCCCTGGGACACACAAATAAATACACACAAAGAACAGGATTCCCCATATTTTCTATATTTTCTAGGTTTTAGTCTTCCCCCCCACTTCCCATATTTCCTCGTGTTTTCCTGGGAGTCGACGATTCATTGTGTCTGTGTGTATTCCCCTCCTGAAGGGAGGAGGGGGATCCCTGGCTCTCAGGGTCTGCAAGCCCTTGGCGAAGACTGCAACGAGGGGGAGACGGCGAAAGACGACGAGGCGAGAGCAGAGGGAGGAACCTCCTGAGTCGGAGACCGAGCGCTGGCCATCGCTCGGACTTTCAGTCCCTGTGCTTTTGTTCGGTTTCGTGCGTGGCTTTTTCGCCAAATGGTCAAGGATGCTCCTCGATGGTCCTCGCCACAAGGAAAATGCACACGTCCTCCTCCTCCTCCTCATCCTCCTCCTCCTCCGCCTCCTCCTCCTCTCTCCTCCTCCTCTCTCCTCCTCTCCTCTCCTCCTCCTCTCTCTCTCCTCCTCCTCCTCCTCCTCCTCCTCCTCCTCCTCCTCCTCCTCCTCCTCCTCCTCCTCCTCCTCCGCCTCCGCCTCCGCCTCCTCCTCCTCTCCTCCTCCTCCTCCTCCTCCTCCTCCTCCTCCTTATCCTCCTCCTCCTCCTCCCCCTCCCGTTCGCGAAGGGGGGTGGCGGGGAAGGCGCGGTCCAGACCGTGGAGCTGCGCGTGCCTGCCTGGCACTCGGCGCCCCGCCGGACGCCACACGGCCGGCCACCGCCTGATTTTTGCTCCCCCCCGCGGCTGCCCTTGGGGGGAGCCCAGAGGAGGGAACCGAACTCTAGACACCGACGCCATTGTCTGGCCTCACACCGAATCTCACACAAGAACGCGGATCCTGGTGTATACGGGATCCTGGTGTATACATTCTTCTTTGTTTTCCCCTCGGAAAACGGGGAAAAAAGAATACACCACACCACCCAGACGTCGTCCCCGACCCTCGAAAAACTGGAATTGAAAAACAGCCCGCCACTGGTAATGTAAATGCTCCAGTTTCCGGCAGAGGGCACCGAGACCGCTGCTCTCTGGACCACACTTGGGGGGAGTTGCGACGCGATGTTCAAGGCAGATCCGGCCCTGGCGACGAGGGCCTCCCAGGAGGCCCAAGAAGCCAAAGCACGAGGGAGGGGTGGCGGCATCGATACCCGCCAGTCGGGAGAAGTGGGTGGAAGCATGAAGCAGGAAGGCGGACAAGGTAGCTTGGGCTCCGGCCCGCCCAAAGAGTAACAAAGGACGACAAACCCCGATCAATTCTTGAAGTAGGAAGGCTCTTGAAGCAGATTGGAACCTGGACATCAAGAGATACCTCCTTTCAAAGACTGGCGTGTACGTTGACGTCTCTGGTGCTCCTCCTGCCCGTCCTCCTCCTCAAGACCGCCCCCCCTCCACAGAGGCTCGATGCGGTTGTCCTCCGCAGCTCGCCACAGGCTCACCTGCCGAGGGGGAGGCCGCGAGGACTGCAGGCAGAACAAAACGGCGACCAGCTACGCCCCGGCACTCCTGCTGGGTGTGCCGCGGCGGCCGCCCCGGCGGCACGCAGTGCCCCGCGAGCGGACAGCAGGTCGCTCCGCTCCGCGGGGCGAATGGAATGAGCTCGGGACATTGATAGAGGCCTCCTAGAACGGGGCCGAGTAGATGGAATCGGAGGATCTCGCCGCGTCACCGATATATCGGCGATGCATCGCCGATGCGTGGTCAATGCATCGGCCATGCACTGACGACGTCGGCGATGCATCGGCGACGTCGCCGTGGAGAGAATTGGGCCGCCCGCCCCACATCGAGCCGCATCGCCGATGTATTGCCGATGCATCGCCGATGCATCGCCGATGCGGCGCGATCCTCCGACCCCATCTACTCCGACCCCATCGAGGAGGTCTAGAATTGACGCTCGGGGACAGAAATGTGTCACATGGCGTGTCGCGGCGAGGCGTGGTGTGCCACAACCGGCGGAGCGACACGCTGAGCAGAAGCTTCTGACGAGATCCCTACCAGACTTTCTCCCCTGGCGGGCGTATGCGCACGCTGGTCACCGAGGCCTCTTGCCCGTGGGGGTAAGCCAGGGCGCCTCTTCCGCCATCCTCACTAGCGGGCTCTCCTTGCCTCTCTGGGCCGGGGATCGAGATGTCGCCGCGCCGTCTCTTCTCGACGCTCCCAAGAGGGCGACCAAGAGACACCAGGGCAAACCAACGGCAAGCCCTGCTCCCCGCGCCCAATTGGACGACGCCAGTACCGCGGTAAACCCACGACAAACCCACCGCGCCCGAGGCGGCGTTTGCCCTGCTGGCCGAGGCGCCCGCCCCAAGACGGAAGGCCCTGCGTCGGAACAAGCGGCACGGCGACAGGTGCGCCTCGGTATCCTTTCTGGCGCTGGCCGAGCTAGCTTGCCATGACAGTCTCGTCGGCGGTCGGCGTGTTTCCACGGTGGTGGGCCATACAGTCACCGTGCGGAGGGGCTTCTCTGACGACAGCGAGCCTGAATGAGGAACGGAGGGGCCCTACAAGGAACGCTGAATTCGGGTCGGGCGAAAGGGGGGGATAGCAAAGGGGGGGTTTGAGAATCAGCTCCCGTAGCTGATTTTCCCGGCGCCTCCCGGCGCCGGAGGCGGCTATGTATCGAGGAATGGGCCCCTCGGTGGGGCCGAAACCAGCTGCATGCAGCAGATTTCGTAACCCCCCCTTTCCCAAACCCCCCCTTTCGCCCGACCCGATGAATGAGGAACAGAGGGGCGTCTCTGACGACAGCGAGCCTCGGCCACGAATAGAGGCCCCCCCGACCTGGAAATGAGGCACGGCCCGCGCACCGGAGCCCCGCCGGAGCCGAAGATGGTCCTCATTCCAGCGTCCTTCGGGGGCGGCCAGGAGGGGGGCGTCCAAAAGGGGGGGGCGCAAGTCGTGGCCGGCGGCATGTGCGCGGCCTGGGGGGGTGGCCAGGGACGTATTGAAATAAGAAGAGGCGCCATGAAATCTAGGGAAATATCATGGCCCAGGCCATGATATCCCCCCCCCCCTAGTCATCACCCCCCTCTTGGTCGCCCCCGAGTCCTGACTGCATCCTCTTGGGCGGGGCCGTGCTGCCCTTGCCGCTTGTCTCGGCGTCCCTCCCAGCTCCGCCCGCTCCCCCCGCGGGCGACGGAGGCCAGCACGCGCCCGCTCGTGCTCCCGAGCAAGCGCCAAACGGCCAACTCACCATGGGCTGTCCTCTCGGCAGCGCGCCCAGGGGTCCTCCTCCTCCTCCTCCTCCTCCTCCTCCTCCTCCTCCTCCTCTTCCGGGCCCGCGTGGGAGCCTATTGGGGCCCTCTTGAGCTCTCTTAGGGGGCGGGCCTTCTCAGAAGGCTCAGAAGGCCTCCGGCGTCTGGGAGCTCTGCGAGCCTTCTCCGAAGCCACAAGGGGGGATTCCCAGAAGGCTCTGAAGGCTTCTGAGAAGCCCCGCCGCCTTCTGAGAAGGCTTGCCCCCTCTTACTTCCCGCCTCGGCGCGACGCCGATCCTCAACGCAGCTGGGCCTTCTAGACAAAAAGACAAACAAAAAACGCTTCTGAGCTTCGGGGCGAGCGCCAGTGCCCTGCGTCCATGTCAGCAGCGCTCGGTACGACGAACGACATACTCTAAGAGCATGATCTCCCTTGGCTTGATATGTTCACCATCTGATCCCATCTGAGACAATGCTGAGACTGATATTGGCTACGCTGTAGTAGCAGTCAGGCGAGCGTGGTAGACGTGTCAAGAACCACCTTTGAGACTAAGCGAGGGGGACTGAGAGTGTACGAGTAAGGGGGAGGGGGAGAGAGGGACGCGGAGAGGGAGAACTCCCTGTCACTACATCGTTGATTATGCGTCACGTCTGCATCGCGGAGCGGGGGGGGGTTGGGAAGGGGCAGGCAACTCCTTGACAAAACACTGTCCCTGAAATGTGGCCGCCGCGATCGCCGCGGCGACCTTCAAAACCGACCCGGAAACTTGATTCAGGGCTGGGTATCACGCGACGAAAGGAGGGAGAGGGGGACAGAGGTGAAGGAAGAGGGGAAGTGGGCGAGTGGGCGGAGGCGCGATGGGGGACGTGGGCGAGGGAGGGGCATGTCCACGAGAGGCCCTGCTCTGCGTCGTCGTCGAGGTCAGTCGTCCTCGTCGTTGTTGTCGTCGCCAGTCGTCGGTCGTTATGGTCCGTCGTCGGTCCACCCGAAAAAAATCAGACTACGTATGCCCAAAAGCCCCCGCGGGGCGAGCGAGGGTTCTGGTCGTGCGCCTGGTGTACAAAGTTCACTCCCCTGGGCGTGATGTTTGTAGACTGAAAGCAGCCCCGGGCGGTGGAATCTGAACGGGGCGGCGAGGGTGTCAAACTTGAGGAGTCGGTCGTCGCCGTCGCCGCCGCTGCGAGCGTCCCTGACGGTGATGTTGGCAGCGCCGTCGACGCCGCCGTCCACCCGGAACCCGGCCACAAAGCCGACACTGAACCTCTCCTGACTGGCAAGCTCTCCGAACGGTCCCCCCGTCGTGGCGGCGAGAAGCCCCAGAAGCGCCCCAAGAGCCTCCGAAGCGAAGACGAGGTTGTGGTCGTCGTCGTCCTCCTCCTCCTCCTCTTCCTCCTCTTCCTCCTCCTCCTCCTCCTCCTCCTCCTGCCCCTCCCCCTCCTCCTCCGTTTTGTTCAGAATCGGCCCCTGGACTCCCCACGAGGCCCAATCCTGGCCTGTCTTCCACCCCAGATCGATTCCAGACGGCCCCGAGTTCCGAGACCGCGCCCTGGTAGGCCAAGATCGACGTAAAATGTTCGTCGCGAGATCTGCTGCTCGGTCCTTCTCACCATCGTGGCCATCGTCGTCCACGTCGACGCCGTCGCCGACGCCGTCGTCGTCGCCGTCGCCGTCGCCGCCGCCGCCGCCGACGCCGCCAGAGCCGTCGCCGCCGCCGCCACCGCCGCCGCCGCCGCCGCCGTCGTCGTGGTTGCCGCCGCCGCCGACGTCAGCGTCGCCGTCGCCGTCGCCATCGACTTGGCGGCGGCGCTGTCGCCGAGGCGGCTGTGGCGGCGGCCGCGGCGACGGCGACGACGCCGCGGCGACGGCGGCCGCGAGCGTGGAGGTCCGGTTGGGCCCCCCGCGGGTTGTTTCTCGACAGCACCAGGGCCCAGCACGGGCCCCCGGGGAGGGCCAAACGTAGCCCCAAACCCCGCGGGGCAGTTGGTGAAGCTAGCGGCTCCGTGTGCCTGCCCCGTCGCCACGAGAGCGTACTCGGCAGGTGATCAGTTCGAGGCCTCCTGGATGGGGTCCGAGTAGACGGGATCGAAGGATCGCGCCGCATCGCCAATGCATCGCCGATGTGTCGGCGATGCATCGGCGATACGTCGGCGACGTCGGCGATGCATCGGCGACGTCGGCGTGGGGAAACACGGGCTCCGCATTGAGCCGCATCGCCGATGCATCGGCGATGCGGCGCGATCCTCCGTTCCAGTCTACTCGGAACCCATCTGGGAGGCCTAAAGTCGCGGGACCCCCGCCCCGCAAGCCAAGACCAGCCAAGCGAGGGTTGGCAAAAAACCTCCGCCGCGGTGCTCCCCCCCCAGCGCGAGGATGTCCGCGGACGGCATCGACCGGCGGCGGCGATCGGCGGCGGCGGCTGCGGCCCGTGGGGCCTCCGCGGCGCTGAGGGCCTCGCCGGCCGCGTCGCCCATGGGTCCCGGGGGGCTGCCTCGCCCCCCCCGCGCCGCCGCCGCGATTGGCGGTCCAAGCGGCACGGGGGCCGGACGGGGCCTGCGCCTGGGGCGCCGCCCAGGGCGGAATCGGCGGGAGGGGGGGACGGGGTCTCGTCCCACCTCCTCCCCTCCCCTCTCCACGCCAAACAGAGCCGACTCGTGAGCGCCGAGTCGGTCAGGTCGAGATGGTCATGTCGAGGCGGTCGTGGCCGACTGGCCGACTCGTGGACCTGACCGACTCGGGAGCCGAGTCGGTCGGGTCGAGTTGGTGTGTTCGTCAGCGAATGGCGGCCCTCCAACAATTTTTCGCTCTGGCCGGGGGTGGCATGATAAGCGATTTCTGGCCGGCTCCTTTGAGGGGGCCCAGGGGCACACAAATAGATAGACACAACTCCCAGGAAACCCCACATTTCCCAACCATCCTGTGGTGTTGGTCCTTCGTTTTGAAGAGACAGCGCCCCGCGTTTCACATTCTCCATCCTCTCATCCGTGCCTCTGCCCTCCGCATGTCCACCATTTCGGCACACCCCTCCACCCCTCACACGTTCCGTGGCCCCGTAGGGAGCTTCACCGAAAGCCCCAATGGCTGCGTTCGCATGGCACCACCGCACCCATTTCGGCACACCCCTCACACGTTTCGTGGCCCCATAGGGGGCTTCACCGAAGGCTCCAGTGGGAGGATTCGCATGGCACCACCACGCCCAATTCGGCGCCCCTCACACGGTTCGTGGCCCAACAGGGAGCTCCACCGAAGGCTCCAGTTGGAGGGTTCACATGGCACCACCGCATCCAATTCGGCACACCCCTCACACGGTTCGTGGCCCCATAGGGGGCTCCACCGAAGGCTCCAGAAGGGAGGGTTCGCAGGGCACCACCGCGCCCAATTCGGCACACCCCCTCACACGTCACGTGGCCCCATTGGGGGCTCCACCGAAGGCTCCAGTGGGAGGGCTCGCATGGCACCACCGCACCCATTTCGTCACACCTCTCACACGGTCCGTTGCCCCATAGGGAGCTCCACCGAAGGCTCCAGCGGGAGGGTTCGCATGGCACCACAGCCCCCAATTCGGCACACCCCTCACACGGTTCGTATCCCCATAAGGAGTGCCACCGAAAACGGCACCCACAATGCGGTATTCGCAGCTGCATCTGGTTGGGTCCTTCGTCAAGGTGATTGCCATATTTCTTGGGTTGTCGTCTTCCCCCACACTATCCATATGTTCAACAATTTCCTAGGAATCGACGATTAGTTGTGCCTGTGTGTTCTTTGCCCTTCTGATCCTTCCTCACGCCATCATCACGACCATCGTCATCATGATCGCCATCACACTCTTCACACGTTTCCTGGCCCCATAGGCTGCTCCACCGAAGGCCCAAATGGCTGCGTTCGCATGCGCCCACCGAACCCATTTCGGCACACCCCTCACAGGTTCACAGGCCCATAGGGACCTCCACCGAAGGCCCCAATGGCTGCGTTTGCATGCAGCCCCACAGAGGGCTCCACAGAATCCCCCAGTGGCTGCGTTCGTATGCGCCCACCGCACCGATTTGGCACACCCCTCATCACAAGCCTCGTGGCCCCATAGGGAGCTCCACCGAAGGCTCACATGGCTGCGTTCGCATGCGCCCGCCGCACCCATTTCGGCACACCCCTCACACGTTTCGCGGCCCCATAGGGAGCTCCACCGAAGGCCCCAGTGGCTGCGTTCGCATGCGCCCACCGCACTCATTCTGGCGCACCCCTCACACGCTCCGTGGCCCCATAGGGAGTTTCCTCTCATCCCTCCATCTTGCCCCCTGCTGCTTGCGCGGACGCCTGCCACCACTGCAGCAACTCTCGGGCCGGGCGAAGGGGGGGATAGCAAAGGGGGGGGTGAGAATCAGCTCACGCGTAGCTGATTTTCCCGGCGCCTCCCGGCGCCGGAGGCAGCCATGTATCGAGGAATGGGCCCCTCGATGGGGCCGAAACCAGCTGCATGCAGCAGATTTCGTAACCCCTCCTTTCCCCATCCCCCCCTTTCGTTCGGCCCGAAACTCCAACACAAGAGAGAAGGAAGGGGCGGGGCGGCGGAAAGCGAGGGGGCCCGGCTCGGGCACTCTCTCGGTGCTCCCCGCCGCGGGCCCGCCGAGCGCCCGCGCGCCGGTGGAACAGCGCCCAGAAGCACTGGCCAGCGAGCTGCGCACTGCAGGAGTCCCAGACAACCGGCTGCTCCGATGATCGTCGGTGCGTGGGCCCCGGGCCACTTCCCCTGGGCCGGTGTTTCGTCCCGAGTCGTTTTGTTGCGCCCCCGAGGCCCGGCGAAGGCCCCCAGAGGCCGAAGACCGCCAACAACCGCCCGCGACAATTCCTGCTGGAGCGTCGGATCTCTGGGACACGGATAAGAAAGGCAAGGCGGACGCGGAGGGGAGGAGCGGGCTGCGGAGGGGGCAACCGCCGGAAGACTCGACCGACTCGGGCACACGCTACCACGGACTGGAGATCCGCAGATCTGACGCGCGGGCGACAGATCCACGGACCTGGGGAACGTGACACCCGACGCATGGCGCTGGCGCCGCCTCCCCAGACATGCGACGCCCTGATTTTCTCGGGACGCCGTCCCTGGAAGTCCCGACCCTTTCCCCGGGACCGGTTCTTCGTCCTGCGTCGCTTTTTGACGGTCCCGAGGCCCGGCGAGGGCCCCCCCGGGCCGAAAATAGCCAGAAACCTCCCGTCCTCCTCCTCCTCCTCCTCCTCCTCCTCCTCCTCCTCCTCCTCCCCCTCCTCCTCCTCCCCCTCCTCCTCCTCCTCCTCCTGATTTTTTCACGCCGCGATCGTGTCTGGGTCACATCTGGCGACGCAGCGCGCCGAGGTCGGGCACCTGCCGGCGGGCCGAGATCTCGGCCGGCCTGCCTGCTGCACTCTCCCCCCTGCTGGCCATCGCTCGGACGTCCGTTCCCCGTGCTGCTTTTGGCAGTGTCGCGCGCGGCTGTTGCCGCAGGAGGAGGAGGAGGAGGAGGAGGGGGAGGAGGAGGAGGAGGAGGAGGAGGAGGGGAGGAGGAGGAGGAGGAGGAGGAGGAGGAGGAGGAGGAGGAGGAGGAGGAGGAGGAGGAGGAGGAGGGGGAGGAGGAGATGACTCGAGGCCGACGCGCGCAAGTCGAGGACGAGCGGGCAGGACGAGCGCGCAAGTCGAGGACGAGCGGATCCAGGAGGCTCCTTAGCAACCCCCGCCGAGAAAAAGTGCACACGTCCGAGCGATGCCAAGCCCACAACGTTGCCCCGAACCGCTTCCTCCTTCTCCCTCCCCCTGCGCAGGCCCTGGCTCGAGCGGAAGGAGGCAACAGCGCCTTGTTCGTCGGCGGCGAGGCAGAAGAGCTGCTCCAGCGAGCGGGGATCCAGGTGACCGACACGCGAATGGGCCCGGCGTGCACGAGGGGGGGTCACGGGGGAGGAGGCGGCCGCGGAGGACAGGAGGAGGAGGAGGAAGCAGACACGCAAGCAGGAGGAGGAGGAGGACAGGAGGAGGAGGACAGGAGGAGGAGGAGGAGGAGGAGGAGGAGGAGGAGGAGGAGGAGGAAGTCCGCTCCACCCTCGCGCGCGGGGGGGTCATCCGGCCTGGTGCGCGCCGCCCGCGCCCGGGGGGGGGGGGAGGAGCTGCGCGGCGGCCCCTTCCGCTCAGCCTGCCTGCCGTGCCCGCACGGGCGGCCCCCGGGAGGCCCCAGGCGGCCCCCCGAGAGGTGGACGGGGGCCCAGGGAGACTGCCTGCACCAGACCACCCCAACCCAGCCCGAAGGCCCGACATTCGGGTCGAGGGGGGGTACGGGAACTGAGTGGTGTTCCATGTTCGGCGGTGGACAAGCTTCCCTTTCGCAAGCCACCCTTCAGTGGAAACGGCCTGGGGACCGAAACCGACGGACCTGGACCCGCAAAAAGGACGGCCGCGACGCCCTCTCGCGAACCGAAAACGGCCAGTTCGCGAACCGACGCGTCAGGGCAGGAGGTCTATCGACCTCCAACATGTTCCCCGCCCCCCCCCCCTGCTGGCAGCAGAAGGCACCTCAGGGCCTTCGGGTTGGGGGTGGCTTGGCGGGCGGTGCGGGAGGCTGCCGGCCTTCTCGGCGAAGGCCTCTGGCGCGGCTTCGCCGAGCCTCGGCAGAGGGCTGGAGCCCTCCTGCCCGGCGCGCTGCGGCGCACGGAGGGGCGCGATCCGAAGCGAACTGCGGCACGGAGGGTCACCGAGCAGAGGCGGCGGGAGGCGGGGGGCGCGCGGGGGGGAAAGGAGGCCAGGAGAAAAAGCAGGCACCGAAAGCAAAATATATGTCGCCACGCCGCGTGTCCCCGACGTGCCCTTTGGTCCCTTCCCCGCGGAGGGGGCGAGCGGGTCGCGGGGAGTGGTCCCGGGGGGGGGGGATCCCAGGTCAGAATACCACCCTACCGCCCGTTCCCTCCCATTTCCGTCGAGGGCCGAGGCCTCCAGGGTCGGCGGCACCGGCCGTAAGGCCTCAGCAACGTGTCGCCGCGCCGTTTGGCCTCGACGCGCCCCAGGTGGACGCCGCCGACGCCGCGGCAGACCCGCGGCAGGCCCTGCGCCCCGCGCCCAAGTAGACGACGCCGGCGCCGCGGCAGACCCGGGGCGAGCCCACCGCGCCCGAGGCGGACTTCGCCCTGGTGCCCGCGGCGCCCTCCCCCAGGCGTAAGGCCGCGCGTCGGAACAAACGGCGCGGTGGCATACAGTGCGGCGCGGCCGCAAGAAACCCTCGCAAGAAACCCGACCCTGAGAACCCGCGCGCGAGGTACACCTGAGGGGAGACCCGGAGCACCCTGAACGCAGCAGCTCCTTCAACGGCTGCGGGAAGTCACCGCGTAGCGCCTAGAGCGAAGCAACCCAGGATACCCTGACGAGAAGCAAATGGTTTCTTGATTCGGGGAGACGTAAGACCCGGGTACGGGGGACTCGGAAATGCCCGACGAGGTCGTCAAAAAAATGACGAGGCCGAGCCTGCATTTTGACGAGGCCTCCCGCTGCAGACATCCCACGAAACTCCTCCTCGTCAAAATCCGAGTCGCGGTCGTCAAAAAAAAATGGCGAACCCGAGTCCCGGCAAACCCGGGTCTTACGCTCCCCCGATTGATGCGCGCTCCCACTGTACAAAACAACGAAAGATATCCGGTCCGAGGTCCGCGCGGATTTCTTGGATCGACGCTGGACCCGCCTCCCTGGCTGGCGCGCGAGGGCCCGGGGCCGCCCCGGGGAGGTCGCGCGGGCCTCCAGCAGTCCTCGTCCCGGCACTCCCCGCGCGCATCGCCGCCCGCCCGCCCACCAAGGAGGGGCGCAGGCTGAGGGGGGGAAGGAGGGGAAGGAAGAAGATGACACGGAGGGACTGCAAAGGAGGAGGAGGAGGAGGAGGAGGAGGAGGACAATAAAGATGAGGAAGAGGAAGAAGAAGATGACACGGAGGGACGGGAAAGGAGGAGGAGGAGGAGGGCAGAGACGAAAGAGGAGGAGGGAGCACGAGGAGAAGCCGAGGAGGAGGGGGGACGGGAGTGGAGGGAGGAGGCCGAGGCCAGGATCCAGAATGAGAAGGAATATACGCAGTGCTCGCCCGCCCCGCCCTCTGGGCCGAGGCGCCGGCGCCGCCTCGAGTGCGGCCGCAGAGCTGCAGGCCGCGCGCGCGCGCGGGCAGCCGGCTGCGCGCCCGAGCGGCGGCTGGGAGGCGGCGCGCGGGGCCGGCGGCAGCGGCAGCGAGAGCGAGGCGAGGCGAAGCGAACGCCCGAGTCGTGCGCGCTCTCTTGGCGAGCCTGCCCGTGCCCATATGGTGCATGGCGGGGAGGCTGCGGTTTCAACAAGACACGCGGACTCGCGCCGCAACAACAACCATTCAGCGCTCACGGCGTAACCACCGTTCGCACGCACGGGGCCGGCGGGAGCGGGGGGGGGGGCAGGGGGAGGGGGGGCGAGGGAGGGCGATCGGAAACATCACAGGGGGAAGGGAGAGCGGAGGGGAGTGGGAGGAGGAGGGAGGAGGGAGGAGAGGAGGAGGAGGAGGAGAGGAGGAGGAGGAGGGAGGAGAGGAGGAGGAGGAGGAGGAGGAGGAGGAGGAGGAGGAGGAGGAGGAGGAGGGAGGAGGAGGAGGGGGAGGGAGGAGGGGGAGGGAGATGAGGAGAGGAGGAGGAGGGAGGAAGAGAGCAGGAGGAGGAGAAGGAGGAGGAGGAGGAGGAGGGAGGAGGAGGAGGAGGAGGAGATATGCGGAAGAGCAGGGGCAGTGGGAGGGAGGAAGAGGAGGAGGAGGAGGAGGAGGAGGAGGAACAAGATCGAGGAGTGGGAGGAGAGAGCTGGGGAAAGGCAGGAGGAGGAGGAGCAGGAGGAGAAGGAGGAGGAGGAGCAGCAGCAGCAGGAACATCGAGGAGGCAGACGAGGAGAAGGAGGGGAGCGAGGGCAGGAGAGCGGCAGAGGAGAGAGGGGAGGGAACAGCGAGAAGGAAGGACAGAAGGGAGAGCACGAGCTGGGCGCGCCCGCGCCACACTCGACACCCTGCCCAAGCCACCGAACTCTTTTCTCCGTCGGCGGCGAGGCAGAGGCAGCCCGCTCCAGCGTGTGGCTATTCAGGGCAACCGGAAGGCTCATTGTCGGGCGTGCAAGAGGGAGGAAGAAGACGAGGGCGGCCGCGCGGGGGGAGGGGGAGGGGAAAGCGCTCAGACATGGAAGAATTCCAAACCCACGCCCCCATCCCGTCCCAGGGCGCTGACTTCTCTTCTCGCCGTAGACTGGGATGCCCGTGAAGCCATGAGACCCTCGATGCCCCGAAAAAGACAATTTCAGGACCTGGCACACGGTTCACTGCGCAGTCGGAAAGGGGGCGCGTTTACGTCGATGGAGGAGGAGAGGAGGAGGAGCAAGAAGAGAACCACAGGCTCTGTCCTCAGGTTTACCCAGCGCCAAAAAGGCGGAGAAAAAGGAGGAGGAGGAGGAGCTGGGGAAACCAAAACGTACCCATACCGCTGTTCCCCGGACCTCTCCCGTGGTGCGCTCTGGCCGAGATGTCGAGGCGAATCCGAGGCGACGAGGGCCTCCCAGGCGGCCCAAGCCAGAGCGAACGAGGGAAGGGTAGCGGCATGGGTACCTTTTTCTCCTCTGGGGAGGAGGCAACCGGGGGTGGAGGAAACGGGGCAGGAGGAGCAGGCGGAGCAGGAGAGGGCGGAGGGAGGGGAGAGGAGGAGGGGAGATCCAGAGCTGCGGCCCGCGCGGAGGCGGAGGGCGAGAGCGCCACCCTGAACCTGCCTTCGCTCGAGCGTCCGTTCCACACGCACGTTTTGATGCCGTGCGTTTACATGTGTTTCGCAGGAGGGTCCAAGATATTCCTCGATGGTCCTCGCCGAGAAAAAATGCACGCGTCCGAGCGATGCCGTGCGAAACCGAAGCGCCGATCCTGAAATCCGACCAGCCCGCCAGGGCAGGGCGCTGATGGTTTAGGGCTCTTCCTCTTCAAACCTCCTGTTTTCCCCTTTCCTCATGCAGCCTCTCCCTGGGTCTGGACGGAGGGGGCAGCGTCCGATTTGGATGAACCAAGATAGCTCCAAGAGGGCCCCAAATAGTCCAAAATGGTCTCCTAAATGGCTCAATACAGCGCGAAGTCGCTCAAAATGGCTTCCAACATATTCCAAGAAGTCCACAAAAAACGCTCACCGCTCCACGACGGGTCCAACTGACCGTGGGGGCTCCCCAGGACAACCCCAGGAGAACCAACTCCGTCCAAAACCAAAGGACATCAACGGTTGTTGCCTTCCCGCCTCTTCACTTCCGATGGCCTTCCGAGGTCTCAAGATGGCCCCACGAGGGCACAAGAGAGCCCCAAGAGGAGCACAAGAGAGCTCTAAGGCAGCCCCCAAATCCTCCCAAAAGCACCCCGAGAGCCCGAGAGCGCCCCAAGGGAGCACCAAGAGGCGATTTGGGCTCTAGAACGGGGGGGGGGGCTAATCAAGGGCCCCCCTTCTTCCATCGATGTCCTCCTACATGGCCCCAAGAAGAAGGCCCCCAGGGCTCCCAAAAGGGACCCAAGAAGGACCGAAGAGACCTCTAGGAGGCCGCTGAATGGCCCCAAAGGGGCCCCCGAGACGCCCGAGAGTCAGCCCCAATCTCAGAGACATTCTTGTCACAGATCTGATTTCAAACAAAATCATTGTCCAAATGGCAAAAAAAAACATCGGGAAGGCGTTGGCCACAACTCTCCAAACGTTTCGACCACTCTCCAGCAATGGGCTGGCGATCTCGGGAGCGACCGCCGCGCGTGCGACACACAGGGTCCGCTTCGCATCCGCCGCCGCGCCTGCGCCGCACCGGCGCAATGGAATGCCAGTCAACTGTCTGATACGGCTGCTGCACTGTTCTAGCAGTGAAGGGGCCCTGGGACACACAAATAAAGAGACACAAATAACAGGATTCCCCATGTTTTCATATATTTTCTGTGGGATCGACGATTTATTGTGTCTGTGTGATTTTTCTCCTCCTCAAGCAGCCCCACCGCCCCGAACAGCACGCCGCCGCGTGCGCTCCGCCCCTCCGCCCCCCCCGACGGACCTGCTCCCCTCGGGAAGCAACGGAGCCGCGCTACAGCGGCCGCGATCCCTCGCAAGATGCCATTGGCCCGCGCTCTCGACAGCAACAGATGGCCCAAAATGTCTCGATGACGGCCCCGGGCGGCCTTGAAGTCGGCCCAATGCGGCTTCTGGACGGACCGCGAGACCCTCCAATCGGTCCAGGAAAGCTCCCACAAGACCCGCAAGGACCCTGGGTGCCTCGAGCCCCGCTCCCCCAAGCCCCAGACGCCCCGAAGCCTCCTCACCGGCGACTCCAACCCCGCCCGTACGCCAAGGCGATGAACACCGACTGTCGTTTTCCATATCGGTGTTTTTTTGCGAGATTTCACGCGTGAATCTTCATACCATAACGAAAAGTTGCCGACCTGAATAGCAGTTATTACGCCAGCTAAAAAAAGGTACCCAGACCCCTCCCGGGGCCCAAACGCAATAATTTTTCGAGCTGCATCCAGCCGCAGCGACGAGGCGGGGCCCCGAATGCCAAAAATCTTCCAACGTCGACCTTCGAGGCTCGAACTTCGAACCGCTCGGGCGGCAACGGGGCCAGGAAGAGAAAACGTAGATAGGAAATCCCAC